CAGGCGTTAGCGGCGTCGTGTGTCCGCACCGTGTGCGCTGCCCATCCGTCGGCCTCTCCGGAGAGAGGGATGGAGGTTTTGCACCATCTGCGTATCGCGACTGGGCTGCCCAAACCCCATCAGTCCCACACCGGTGTCTCCGCAAGGCGAGCGCCGAACATTTGTTTCCCCTGTGAGCAGGGAGGGAGCGGGTAGTTTTCTATCAGAGACTGATGTGACTGGGGAAAAAGAAAAAAAAAAAAACAAAGTCCATTCAGGAATCTCTTTTCTCATGCTGAGAAAATCCGAAATGATTTAAAGGAGCGCCCTGCTTGCGTTTGACAGCCAAAGGCTAAGGTCCGTCTCCATCTTCTGTGGTGGAGGTGGGGAGAGGGGAGAAGGGGGCATTTTCGGAGCTTCCGCATGTATGTATGTGTGGGGTTCCCCCCCCACTCCCAGCCAGATACGTCCATATTTTTCATCAAAGCATTGACATACAGTAAAAACACCACTTCGAGCCTGCAGCTGGAGCTTAAAAAAATCCTTCAATTAAAATGTCCTCTGCCCTTAAGAGAAGAAGGCAATGGTGCGGGTAGAGAGAGACAGAGGAGAGAGCCTTTCCTCAGCAACGTTTCGAAAGTTTATTTAAAGGGACTGGAAAACACGCAGACACGCACACGGGCAGTACTAACGCGTGAGAGCGTGAGTGGGCCCGGGCGGGCAGGCGGGGACGAGGAGCAGAGTACAGCCGGGGAGGGAAGGAGGGAGGAAAGGGTGCAGCCTCCTGCCCCGCTCTGCCCTGCGCAGAGCCCCGGGACACTGGGCTGCGCTCGGCGGCGCGTCGCCGCGGCTCCCCGCGGTAGCTTGCCCTGCATACACCGGGGTGTGGGTGTGTACCTATACAGTGTGCGTGCGTTTGTGTATGTGCGTTTACATACATATATGTAAACATATATATATAGTATATATGGATATGTATTAAATATGTATCAATAATATGCCTGCATGTGCGTACGTATCGTTTGGGAAACCAACCCAGCAAAGGGAGGGTCAGGAGGGGGCGAGCGGCAGGCAGTGCTTGATAGCGGCTACCTGCTGCAAGCTCGGAAAACTCCTGCGGGAGAAGGGCGGGGGG